TTAGGCAAAACTGTCGAGATAATGTTCTCGAAATAATTATTTCGCGAGATAATGCGTTGTCCGGATTATTTCATTCAATTAATTTTTACTTCTTACTAATATACACATACAATGTAAATTAAACAAAATATTTTTAAAACAACACTAAATATTTTTAAACACAATATTTTTTAAAACGGAAATTATCTCGCACAAATTAGTTTATATAATCTAATATAAACTTACTAACTAACTAATTTACACATACACAACAAAAAAAAATGGACAACAAAAAATAATAAATTACTCACGTCTTTATGCCTTCTTCATTTACTTTCTTTTCCTGCCTTGTTTCTTTCTTCGAATCAATCTGTATGTGGGCAAATGTTGTGAAATAATATCATGTATGTGTAAACAAAATATTTATTTAAACAACAATAGCTCCCACAAATTAATTTTATATAATCTAATATATTATAATATACCTTAAACTAATAAACTATTTCTTTATTATAATATAACTTAGTTAAAATAACAAACTAATTAAGCACTAATTAATTTTTTATAATATAACTTCAACTTCAACGAACAACCTAATATACGTTTAAAGGCACTAACAAATTAATTAATATTTTTTATATTTAATAACTTAAACTAAGAAACTAATTAACTAATTTTTTATATAATATAATATATAACTTAAACTAATAAACTAATATAATATAACTTAAACTAACAAACTAATAATTTATACTAACAAACTAATTAACTAGATTTTAGTTTTACCCTAAACCCGAAACTAACAAACTAATAATTTCATATAATAAACTAAATTAAACAATAAAAAAATTACCTCACGAACTATGTTTGAGCCTTTATCTTCTTTTCTTCTTCTTCCTTTTCTTTCTCTCGGCAAAGTTTATATGTGCTTATGTTTCTGGTTCTGCTTGTGCTTCTACCCTAAACCCCATATCCTTTATATAAAGCAACTGAGCGTTGGACAGAGTCATTAAATTTGACTGTTGAAGCAAATAATATTAGCATTGCATCGTATAACTATTGAGCATTGAAAGGCTGGCAGCTAAATTAACGCTGCAATAACGCAACTATAGATGCAACACATACAGCTACGGATGCAGGAATCTCTCAGCTATGATGCAACACATGCATGCATCTACAGGAATCTCCCAGACCTTGGTCGCCGAGACTCCATGGCGACCTACCTACCACGCCGCCGTGACCTACACCGTTCGACGTGCATGGCCCATGCACAGTTCCCACGTCCCATGCACAGCATGCATCCCACAACTCCCCCATGCATTCCCACGTCCCATGCACAACATGCATCCCACAACTCCCCCATGCATGCTCCAATACTATTTGATTGCATGGTGACCTACACCTGCTCCTTTGCAAAATACCACACAGGTCGCTCGGATGCCATGGCGACCTCCAAGGTTACTGTAGAATTCACCCCATTTCAACAATTAATCTGGGATGTGCATTATATCGTGAATAAAAAAGTTCAAGAACATTATCTCGTGAATTCACCCACCATTTAGCTTACACAACACTATACTATTTGAAATCCAACTTCAAGCTGACCCCCCAACCCAATGCCCCATGCCTTTCCATTCATTTCATCTCCATCAATATACAATTTTATTACGTTGGACTCTTATGTAATTCTGCCAAACTTGTTCTTTCTCATTTACAAAACTTAAATTCAAAACTTTATTTAAAATAAATAAATTCTTTATCACTCGATCCAACAAACATCAATAAAGAATAAGTTGAAACGGTAGGCCAACTATGGAAGATAAAATTTGAAGTGGTCCTTGGAGTCACAACTCAAACCCAAAGCTCTTCAAGCGAATTCAGTTGCTGAGTCGACCTCCATGTTCCAAAAGCCACCCCCAAGGCATAATATTGGAAAGGGAAAGCCACCCTATGATTTAAAGTAACAACTTCGAGTCACTCCACAATTGTTCAAACACCCTTATAAACTATATATTTTAATCCGAAAATTTTAAAAACAACAACTATCGTTTAACCCGGTACATATTTAATAATGGAAGACGTAGTAAAGAGGGGGACATGCGTACTTTGAAATTTTGGGAGAATAGCAATAATCTAAAGTAAGTTCATATTTATTCCCGCTTTAACCGCAGGCTGCATAGCTACTAGTCTGTATTTTATTGAAGGTCATGCCTATGCTAGGTAGGCAAAACTCACGATATAATGTTTTCAAAATAAATAATTCACGAGATAATGCACTCCCCATATTTTTTGGCCGTAGGTCGCCACGCCTTCCGGGCGACCTACTACGTAGCCATGGCTTCCCGGCGAACTGCACAGAAATAATGGACGTCGTCCCCAACATATAGGTCGCCATGCCCTCCGGGCGACCTTGTAGGTCGCCATGAACTCCCAGCGACCTTGTAGGTTGCCATGCACGCCCGGCGACCAACGTTGCTCCCTCGTGATTCCTGTTGCAGCTGCTGCTCTGCTTTGGTGCTTTGCATGGGCCATGCACGTGGCATGGGATAGGTCGCCATGCATGCCTATGGTCTGCTCTCGCTGCGCCTCTGCTCCCATGCAACGTGAATTCAGCTGCATTATTGCAACCCTTATTGTTGCATTATTACATTATTGCATTATTGATGCATTATCCCAGCTATGGATGCAGCGCATGCATGAGGGAACAGAGGGTTAAAGCTTGGCTGTAATCTCCCAGCTATGGATGCAGAAATCTCCCAGCTATGGATGCAGAAATCTCCCAGCTATGGATGCAACGCATGCACGAGGGAGGGTTAAGTTTGGTCGCCGGGTGTGCATGGCGACCTACCATGTCGCCAGGACTGCTTGGCGACCTACACAAAGAAAATTCGACGTGCATGCGCCATGCACTGCTCCCTGGATAGCTCGCACTCACTCCTTGGTTGTCCGGAGTGCATGGCGACCTCCTTGGTCGCCCGGAGTACATGGCGACCTACGGCTTCACTGTAGAATTCACATTATCTCAACAAATAATATGTCCAAAGCATTATATCATGAAATAAAAATTTAGAGAACATTATATCGTGGATTTTGCCATGCTAGGCACTACTATATTATTTACAATCAATTTGAGCTTTAATTACTAGCTATCAAAATTTACCTGAATTATTATCAAATTTACGTTTTAATCGAGTTTTAACCGAGTTCGACGTTTTAAATCATAAACCCTAAACTTCAATTCCAAAAGAAATTGATTAGTTTATATATATCATGAGTTTATTTTCGGTAAAAACACGACAAAAAATATTAATAAAAAAACTTATCAAATGATCTTAATGATAAAAGGGAGTGTTATTCTTTTCAAAAGTTTCAAATTCGAGCAAATACATTTACAAGATACGTGTATGTTGTCAATAATTAAAAAATATATAAATAAATAATACCTTATATCATCTCAGACTCAAACACATATAAAAAATAAAAAATAATACTTACCTGTACATTTGAATATAATCACCTATCATCTGAGTACTTTATCTTATATCATATACATGAAAAACAACGGTTGAAGATATTAAAATATGAACCTAGACATGCTCAACATTGCCTGTTCAAGATAACTTCATTAACTAAGTTAAATTTCAAGTTCCACACATTTCAATTTTTATCATCGAGTTTAAGCCACCTTCAAGCCTAATCATCATAGTAGAAAGAGATAGATAGTCCTGAATCTGACAATTTTTATCTTTTTATTTTACTTCATGCCCGTCTATGAATTTGACAACCTTTTTTTACGTCATTTTAAAAGATAAAAAAAATGGGTTAAAAATTCAAGTTCAAAGATCAATGTGTACAGAAAAACAGTTGGCGGATAAAATTAAAAAGATTATCAAGATTTAAGGACTAAAAGTTACTTTTTCCCTTATCACTCTCCTTTTGACATGCCAGCCAGCAACCAACCATATTCTTTCAACATACACCAAACAATGGATGTTTTATTAGTAAAAAGTTGCATACAAAAGGGAATAAAGAAACATCATAGGTGAAGATACTTTTTTTTTTCCTTGCATTGGAGACAATGAATGATATCCATGACTCAATATGATCATCATTTGATTATTGTCTGTTCCCAGACCGAACTACTGTCACTAATTGCCCTACTTTAACATATAAAAGCAGTTGCTTTTTGATAATTCTAACACATTCACATGCTTGGAAATGGAATAACACCAAGGATCAAAAGCCTGTGGTACAGGGTGTTGTCAGAGCTAAGCCGTTGCATCTTATATCAACAAGACCTTCAATATTTGATGTAAAGCTCAAGTTCATAACAAGTTCATGGATCGAATGAGTTTACAAGAATGGTAACTGGTAATACTAGACGAGTGGCTTATAAGTTTCATTTATATAGGAAGAGTGAAATTGCGAAAAGGAATTGCGTTGGGAAGAGAAGAAAGAAATTAAATAAATAAAAGGGCAAAAGTACAATAGTATATATAAATATGAAGTCCCCTAACACTAATTTCAATAAACATGTCTCCTTCCGAAGCCCGAAAGCCGAGCCGAAGCCGAAGCCAAAGGCCTTCTCTGTCTCTTTCTCTCTGTCTCTATCTCTGTCTCTCATGTCATGCAAGTAGCACCTAGGCTTTAACCACTCTCAGCTACACACTCCCTTCGCCCCACGACATTTGTTTAATTGTTTCTCTTTGGCCCGCACATTCACACCCCCCAAATACAGCACAGCTCCAGCACCAAACCCTCTCTATTTCAACGTATTCTCCACCAGATCTCCGGGAGTAATCCTATAAAGATGCGAGCTTTTCCACCCCTTGCTTCGTTTTAGAATCGAGACCTGTTATAAAATATCTTTTCAACATTACCCATATTCAAATTTTCTCCTCTTTGAGGGGTTTCTGGGTTCTCTTTCTTTCGGGAAACCTAATAAGGAGAACCGTGTTTGGTGCGTGCGTGCGTTTTGTTTGTTTGTTTGTTTGTTTGATAGCGTCTGGGTGAAGGGGGATCTTGTTAGAGAGAGAGAGAGAGAGAGCGAAAATGGAGAATGAAGTGGAAAGAGAGAGTGGGTCGATGATCTTTAGCGAGGAGGAGTTGGTAGAGGTAAGTGGATTGAAGAAAGGAAGAGATTTTATAGAAGTGACATGTGGGTGTACCAGTCATAGATATGGTGATGCCGTTGGCAGGCTTATGGTTTTCTCTAATGGTGACCTCGAAATCACCTGTGAATGCACCCCTGGTTGCAACGAAGGTCTCTCTGTCTCTATCTCTCCGTTTAACCCTTCTTTTCCTTTTTCCATCTCTCCCCATCCCTTTTGTTTTCCTTTGACGTCGTTGAGAATCTGGGTTTTCATTTTTGTTGGTGTTTAATGCGTGCTTTGTTCAAGTTATGGTGCATTTGACGTTGAAGTGTGTCGCTCTCTCATTTAATCGAGGTTTTGATAGAGTGAGAAGTGGATGGTGGGAGGCTTGAGTCCTTTCGTTTTCTGGTTTCTTATTGACACAGTTTATGTGTATGTTGTTTTGTCTCAGAAGACTTGGCTTTCCTTGCTTGTAAGACAACAATATCGTGTTCATTCATATTTTGGCACAGTCCGTCAGTTTATTTGTTGGTTAAAGATCTATGAGTATCGTCTTCAGAATAACACCCGCATTGTATTGTTTATTGTTGTGATTCTTAAGGTCTTCGATTTAGGCTTTTCAGCATCTAGTTTTTCAAGCTTTAAGTTATGTTTCTTATCATTAGACAGTCAAACACATGGAGAAAACATATTTGTCCATATGGATTCTGCGTACGTTTTTGTTCTTCTTTGTGATGGCATGCCATTTGTGAAGAGTAACTGGGAGGGAGGGATGCTTTTTAATCATTTCCATGCCTCGTTTTACAAGGAGTGTTATGTCTCTAGAAGGGGTGGACGTCCTCTTTCTTGTGTTCTTTTTGTGTGCATGTGCTTTTCTTTTACCATGTGAAAGTAGTACGAGTTTGGCTCGGAGGTTCAAACAGTACTACTAGCTAAATTCTATTATTTTAACACTTTAGCATATAACTCCATGATACTGCGTCCAACTTATTTATCACTGAAACAATATTGTTGAGGAAACAAAATTTGGAAAAATAAATAAAAGGTTAAAACATTTGCCAACTTTTTCCGTCTGATCAGTGGTTAGTGTTACAAATGCTTCTTGTTCAAGGGAGTAGATTGCATGCCGAGTATGTGCATGTCAAGGAACCTTAGGTCTGTTAGGAGACTGTTTTTGTTCATAAAAGAAGAAATATTAGCCATGTCAAACGAAAAGAACACTTAGTTTTACAACTAACTATATAGTCTGGTTGGGGCTTGTAAAAAGAACAAGGTGAATTTGGTGGCCGAACTATATAGTCTGTGTCCTTACAACTAAACATAATTAAAACTGGCTTTAGCTATCTGTACTGTTGTCTCTGCCTTTACTTTTTATTAGAACCTTCCATTGTCTGGTGCATATGATATCATCTTTTCCCTCTTACATAGTCCTTGTTCCTTCCTATTTTCCTAACAAATATAGAAGCTTTGTTTTTTGTTCCATTTTTCTTCTCTAATTGTGTGAATGTTAATTTAAATGGCTAGACAAGTTGACTCCTGCTGCGTTTGAGAAGCATTCTGGAAGGGAGACGGCTCGAAAGTGGAAAAATAATGTTTGGGTGATAGTTAATGGGGAGAAGGTGTCTTTATCAAAGACTGCATTGCTGAAATACTACAACCAGGCATCTAAAAGTGCCAATGGTACTAACAGATCTTATAATGGAAGAGTTTGTCATCGTGATGAGTTTGTTCGCTGTAGCAGGTGTAACAAGGAGAGAAGATTTCGATTGCGCACGAAGGAGGAATGTCGGATTCACCATGATGCTTTAGCAGATGTGAACTGGAAATGTTCGAATCTTCCATATGACAGGTTTGTCTCCCAATTATTGATTGAGTCTTATTTTTTGTGATGCCCGAGCGTGCTGCCTACAACATATTGGGGTACCAGTCATTCTAGAACATGATACTGGACTTGGTTCTTTTCTACCTCTAAAAACATCCTGTTGTTAAGGAATAAAAATGTAAATTGTAGATAATGCATGTGGTAGTAATGCCCTTTTGATTATATGCTAGTTTTGTTTCATTAATAGCCATTCTACTAGAAGCTGTGGGTCAATAAGAACGGGTTATATTTTCGTGTTTGATTGTAGTTGTTTAGCTCAGCTTATGCATCAACATTCAACCATTAACATTTTGTTTAAAAAAATATGCTTTTAGTTGGCAAGTACATTAAAATTATAATCTACCAGGATGTGCATCATTTGCTGTTTCATTATCTGATGAAGCCAAAATGTTCTGGCTCTGTTCTTGAATACCTGCATATTTTCTTTCTTGAAATGAATGTGGAGTGGGGAAGAGAGTTCTGAAAATGCTCAGAGAATAGCTGTTGTTAATATCTTCTTTATATTAGGATCAGATATGAACATGTTAAAGGTTTTTACACAAATTGGTTGCATGGAAATGTAGAATCATTTGCTATATGTTATGGCATGTTGGCAACATTTTATTTGACTTTGTTTTCAGAATAACATGTGATGACGAGGAAGAACGAGGTAGTCGCAGGGTATACAGGGGCTGCACCCGTTCTCCGACATGCAAGGGTTGCACGTCCTGCGTGTGCTTTGGGTGCGAAATCTGTAGGTTCAGTGATTGCAGTTGCCAAACTTGTATCGACTTCACTATGAATGCCAAGGCTTGAATCAACTTTTACAGGATGGGTTACTTCTGTTTGCTGCTTTTGTTATTAGACCCTCGGTGCCTTGGTTCAGCCTTCGTGCTGCCTGCTTATCGACTGCTTTAAAAACTTCAATTTAATCAAAATTAGATCCCTACATTGATGCATGTTTGGTCCATGCTCTTTTTTCTCTGCTATTTAACTCTGTTTATTCATTGATAAAATTGACAGATTCCACAGTTCTCTCTCTTTTTTTATAATCAAAATTAGGATATATGGCCTAATTATGATTTTAGGTCCTTCAAGCTTTAAAACGTTTTAATTGAGTCTTCAATCTACTCTACAATGATGCATTTACTTTTATAATTTTTTATTATTAGGTCCTTAAATTTTAAAAAGTTTCAATTGAGTCTTTCAAACTTTTCATGTCGTTTCAATTATATCATTATATTAACTAGGTATGCAGTTAGTGATGATACATGTCGCTATAATTTGGTAGCAGCAGCAGGTGGCTACTCTTCTTACTTTTTTATTAATTATTTTTCATAATTAATAAAAATAATAACTTACTAATTTTTAAAATTATTTAATCAATAAAAACAACAACAAAATCATATTCTCATATTCAATAGGGTAAGAGGGAGTTAGGGTAGTAGGCTGACCCCAACGTCAGGTTGAGAACAGTTTCCGTGAAAGACTTCCGGCAGTCAGAAAATTAAAAATAAATATAAAATGCAATGCATGTATAAATAAATAAATAAATAAATACATAGTTGAACAGTCTTCATATGCAGTCTTCATATGCGCATATGTATTGGGAAGTAATGCCTGCAAATAAATATCTGCTTAGAAATATATGCATATAGACTGAAACGTAAGACCCGACTAAATTTAAAAAGAGGAAACCTGAAGAGAATGATACACAGAAGTCAACGATAGCAAGCTACGAGAATGAATAAAGTCAAATGCGTTAATACCTAAACTAAGACAACACTACTCCGATACCCTAGTTCTAAGCCTTCATACATTCCAATGACAGAAACGTGTATAAAGTAGAAGTCATGGAAATTACTGCAAAGGCATTATAAAGAAGGCAGAGAAGTTGCACCCTATGGCTGTAAACCGCATTACTCGGCTACCCTGGTCTTAAGTCTCCATACTTTCCTATCAGAGGTCATGTCTTCGGTAAGGGCTAATTTTATAAACATATTTTTAGAGAAAATAAAAAATTATAGAACAAAGATAAATGGATTTTTTCATTACTCTAGGTTTATACAAGATAGTACTTGCTTAAAGATAATTTTTAATCATTTAATATTGAGTGTTCAGACCCTGACATTCTTAATATTCGAACTCAAGTTGTAGGAAACTTCCTCACCGCCACAGCCGACCGTAAGAATAGTAGTAGTAGTAGATACAGATAACATCTTTATGGGGGCAGCTTGCTTATTTGGATCTTCATATTTCATATATGTTCCTTTCGGCAATGCCCCCCAACCAGATCGAGCGTCTGTGATAACTAAAAAAAAAAGCGCTGCGGCATGCATGGCATTGAAAAATGCGAGACACGAGGACCGACCACAATTTCAGCTTTGAAAAGTCAAAGGGTTCAACCCTCTCATTCATTTATGATAATCATATCCCCTTCAAACTATAACTTCAGGGTCACGACACGAGCGATGTAAGCATGGCGCCTGCATTGCCTGGCCCCTCGGCATGTCGGAACTTGGACCACCTCCATCCTCGGTTGCTTGTTTTTCTTTTCTTTTTTTAATGCGTTGACTTCTTCTTTGTTTTCAGTTCCCACCATATATACACACAAACACACACAGAGAAGCTGACTTCTCTCAGGGACGGGACTAGTAAGCTTTCAGTATAACATAACATCAGATGAGATAAAAGATAAAAAGATGTTCATTTCCTTTTCTTTTATAGTTGAAGATGATCATTGTATATGAAAGTTGATGAACCTGATTGTCAAATATATTAATTATGGGGACCATTAAATGAACCTGAAAGATTATAAAATGCCGAATGATGCAATATTTATTAGTAAGTAGTTGGTGCTGTCATTACATTTACCTTCAGAATTTAATGTGAACTGCTAGATTTGTATTATTACCAAACCCAACATGAGCTTTTCACTGCAACAAAAACAAAGCAAACACGCCCTTCCTACTCTTCTGTCCTCTTTCTTCACATGCACCTCATTTAAATTTGCACGACGCCTTTACGTTTTTTATATAAATAATATGAGACAAATATAAACTGATATTTATTTTAAAAAATTAACTATTTGATAACGAACGTTCATAAAATAGTGTTTGAATACGAAATCGTAAGAGATAATAACAACCTCTTAATTATTAAAATAGCTTGGTTTGTGCAAGAATTTTATGTCTTTGAATATCTTTTGTTATAGTATTACAATTCAAAATTTAATTCTGTTACCCGTAAAAGAGAGAGAAACGTGTGAGGTAGCTTGGTAGCTAGTATGGTGTGATTTAACTTCCTAACAGAAAGCTATACATTCATGCTGCTTGGGTTCTCGCTAACATGCATATATTTAATGGTTTTTGACTACGTGAAACGAAAATATAATTTTCCAAGCAGAGAAACCTTCAATGATCCTAATAACGACGATAATACAGTGGATCAATACTCGTGTTTCATATACAGTGGATCTCGATCAATATGGGGTGATCAGTTCAGTTCCATCCAATGAATCAACTGGCCTTTTGTCTGTTCATTGATAATTAATTTGAAACCTTAAGTCTTAACGACGCTAACACAAACATGAGAAGGAACATTTGAATCTTTTTCTTGTGTGAAACTTGATTATTAAAGAATGAAGATCATACATCTTATCATCCATCTCCCACTTAATTTTCTGCTAAACCCTTACTGTATTACTACTCATACCATGAATTCAACGGTAAGATCGAAGAATGGCTCCACAAAAAGTGCACACGATCGCCTTCCAAGATTTCCAGTAAAACGGAACGTAGCAAAACCTGGTACGAGTCTTCATATCGGCCACACTGGCCCCTCCACCGCACCTCGAGCAAAACCCTGCCGCCGGCTTACTTTTGCTCACCTCCTTCGTCTGATCAACCAGAAAACAGAAACACACCATGATTTTCTCTTCTTCTTCTTGGTTTTAGCTTCACCGATTAGGATATATATAATTCTTTTGAACAACTGTTGACTCCTATAGTTTAGCACTTAGCTGCCAAGGAAAATATGAATTGAATAGTTATTTTGTATAGATGAGCTAGTGGGGGCAGATATATATATAGGTGAGACTTGAGAGGAGTAGGGTTAAAGGGCGAGCAACTCAACTGTGGGTGCCTATTTTGACCATTTCATTCAGAAGTATGGGCAGAGAGTTGCTCGATGTTTAAGTGTTAACAATACCCTGTAGGTTAACGACACGTGTAGGTAACTGAATATCAGCTAGGGAAGGAAAAGGATAGGGTGGGTTTGTTGGCGTAGCGATAAGTAATTGGTTGAGGCGACGGATGTTTTGTCGATCTGAGGCCAGACGGTAATCTGTTCCCAATCAATTTCGTTCCGCTTAATATTCGGTCTACTCGTTTATCTATCGTCTTGAGTATACTTTTATCACTTAATTATATAGATTTTTGTTTATTTTAATGATTATTATTAAAGTTTTAACCTTATATTTACATAATTTTCTTTTGTAATATTTAAAATTCATTATTGATTAAGAATTAAAAAATATAGGATAAATTGCTTATTTAATCCCCCACTAATGATCAATTTTCAAATGAGAACACACAATCTATTCATGAATATGTTCGTATGTTGAACACAAAAGATCTATTCAGAAAGACAGCCAAAAATGAAATGGGAACAAAATCATAATGAATAATTAGTAACCAAATAATAGAGTTCCATGAAACAAAAGGTTAGAGCATATATTTATGCCATAGCCAAGGCTTTGTTACATGATTTTAATGAACAACAGAATGATTACAAAAGTAACAGACCTGAAAATTTCAGACTGCTGCTTTACAATGGATGCATTTTCTCGGATAAACATCGGACGGATCAAATCTCTGTGACCTCCCCGTTCACAAACCAATTAATCGGATTTATTGCCTTATACAAGTCGGTCTCCAAGGGATTCGTTACTCGGACGCTCCCTGCGTATGATGCCCAATAGATCTTGAACAACTTCAGACATCGGTGGCCTGAATTCCGGTTCAGACTGCGAAATGAAGTTGCGGTTAGGCAAGAACATAGAAATTTAACTATCCTGTGGAGGGACAGAGCCAGCTTCCTAATTACATAATATTCTCACCTGGACACATCGAGAAATGATATCGGCAAAGCGTGATAGCGCTTTAGCGGGATACTCTCCGTTGAGAGAAGGGTCTACCATTCTAGATAACGCTTCGATATCATGGAGCCGCGGGATTGCCCATCTCACAAGGAATTGTTCTCCTCTACTCCTATTCCTGAATAACGTTTTCAACAGATTATTTTCAGTGGACACTAGATGGTAACTGCAGTAAGGTTTCACCATTTACCTGTCATAAGATTTCCTGCCAGTTAAGAGCTCCAACATAAATACACCAAAACTGTAAACATCACTCTGGGAAGTATAAATTCCAGACTCGAATTCTGGTGCTCCATAACCGTAAATCGATTGTAGTTGTCCCGACAACTGAAGGTGGAACAGTTTTAGGTAAAGAAAATGTTAGTAGAAAGGCCAGCCACTCCTTTTTTATGCTTATACTAGCAGGCGTTTTAACAGGTGGTGTCATCTTGTCTAAACCAAGGATAGATGATTGACAATACTTCCAAGTCGCATAAATTAATTTTCCTCAAAATTATGTTTAATAGACAACAGTTGTCATCTTGTCTAACTTTTTTATTTCCATTCAACTGATTATTTTTAAGACAGCAGCTTGTCGATACGCAAACGTCTTAATAAGAAGAAGAAAATTTAGAGAAGCCTGATAAAGTTATCAGCTTTCCCGATTTACCACATTAAGAAAGGCAATATTAAGATGATGAGAAGCTTAAACCTACCTGGCTTACGGAACCTGATGCTATTAATGGAGCCAAACCACAATCAGAGACACGCACATCAAGATCATCATCGAGGAGAACATTGGCAGACTTGAAATTTCTGTGTACAACAGGTGGCTGGCAAGCCTCATGCATATACCTTTTCATATAGAACAAGAAAATCAGGACTGAAATGGTGTGCAGTTCAACACAAAAACCTAGGAGGATTGGCTTTTCAAAGGTAACGCCGGGCTACGAACGGTTAGGAGTGTGATGCAAAGGGCAAAGCATAATTAACCCTTGGTCCCCTACCAGAAAAAAAATAGTGTTTACATGCCTTGATGTCTTGAGCGGAAAGAACCGTGAGTGATTTGTTTAGTTATGTCAATCTGCATATCTAGGAAATGCACATGTGTCTTATTCCTCCTCATTTTTTGACGGCAAGTAGCTAAAAATGCAACTTTGACCTGTTCATAATTATTTTATTTTACACCCATTTATTAACTTAGGTTCATTGTTTTTACAATTTCGTCTTTATATACAAATGCAGTGAGCTCTAACCAGATTCAATTTTTTTAATTTAACTCCTTGTCAATAACATCATGCTCAAGTATTCGCACAATGTAACCAATTATACCCGATCTACTTAAACAACGACTCCAACCACAAAAGCAACCAGCTGAAATTCTATAGCTGAACCTACTAGAATGGAGAGAAACAATGCCAGATTACTTACTCTAAGGCTCTAGCAGGTCCAAGAGCCATCCGAATGCGGGCATTCCATGAAAGCTTCTTTCTAAATTCATCATCAGAGTGCAGAGCATCCTGCAGAGATCCATTGCTGCAATACTCATAGATCAAAAGCTTTTGACCATGCTCTGCACAGTAACCCATTAGCCTGACAATATTCACATGCTGGATACGGTCAATATTCTCTATCAGTTCAATGAATTCATCATCCTTCTGCTGGCTTGCAACTCTCTTCTCCAGTTTCTTGACTGCAAGTAGCTACAGATGCATACAACAAGATCCATTAGAATCTGAAGCTGCTTGATACATACATACCATCTAAAAGGTCTACTTTATGAGCTATAGCCCCATGCCCAAGTGCAACTTGTTCATATACACAGGTGTAAAACAGGGTTAAGCAAAGGAAGAAGGCAGGGAAGAAAAGTAGGAATTAAAAATTCTAAAACCGACTAGCAATATGTTATGGTAACTAAGATGTATATTTACCAGCTCAGGTTAACTCCAAAGGTCTGTTAGGTCCATCGTCATCATTATTATCATCCAATAGCGAGTCTATGACACAATGATACAGACTCTTGGAGAAAAATAATTAAAGGGAGCAAGCTTCTAATGAAATCAAATCAGTTTAAAATCCACAATTATACCTTCCCATCCGGGAGTTCTGCCCTATAGACACTTCCAAGCATGCCGCCCCCTAAAAGATTTTCTTGAGAAAAGCTATTTGTATATTGCTGAAGGGCTGCAATGGTGAAAGACTTTGCAAATGTAGATGTCTTTGTTTTGGCAGAAGGCGTTGCGGTTACTTCATCAGGCACAATGACCTTCTCAGAAAGTGGTACAGGAGGGGGAGGGGGCGGAGGCGGGGGAGGAGGAGGTGGTGGTGGTGGAGGGGGATCCAGCATCATCATATCAAAGCTAGTCATCCTACTCATGTCTATCTCATGGTCAAATCTCTTTGGCGTTGTGCCTATCCTTTCCACATTCCTCTCTTCCTTGTTCTTTGGCTTTGCAATCGCCCCCATGATTCCCCTCTCTGTTTGATTACCTCCCACTGGTCTTATAACTGCCTCTTTCGGGCCTGTTCATGAATTTTCAAAAACCATTATTGCTTAAGTGATTGAAACCAGACAATAATAGCAAACTAAATATTATCTAAAGACTAAAGTGAACGAGTAAAAGTTGTCATTTGCCTTTGTCTGTCTGACTGGTTGTGGTGGGCAAGGATCCATCCCCAGTAAGGTTCTCCTTGTTTCCTCTATATGCTCCTACTTGATGCCGTTTGAAAATGCCACCAGCCTCTTCCCTTCTTCGGATGCACTTTGGCATAAAAAGCAGAAGTGCTAACGCTAATATTATAAACAACAAAACACCTGCAATTGATATCCACACCACCTTTCTAGTAGTTAAAAAATTCTTCTTCTCTCTAGAAGTGGATCCCTCCGACACAGAAGGTCCATCAGCATGTTTCCCAGGTGTTTGATCAGATGTTGGTGTTTGACCAGAAGTCGGTACTTCAGAACGTGGCGGCGAACGGGATGGTACTAATGGTGATGTGGGCGCAGGCAATGGAGCAACAGTGGAATTAAAAGGGTTTCCATCACTCCTGTGAAGAGAATTTCAATATAAGCAAACATACAAGTAACAGAAAGAAGTATACAAACAGTATATTTGGTTTTATACACATATATATACGGGAAGAAGCTCTTAAGAAAAAAGTGGGCAAGATCCAACAACAAAGATTACATTTGGCTTATATGCTATGATATATTTGGAGACTTTTTATGTGATTCAAATTCGGATGAGTGGCCAAAGAAATATTTTCAGTTTCTTTTAAAACTTTTCTTTATATTTGATTATATACCTCATACCAAAAGCATGTACCGGATTAAAAAAATATAAAATGTCAAAAGGAACGTTGCCGATGGTGCATAAATCCATCATCCAGGTATTGACCAATTCTACAAAATAATTGGTCCTATTGGTATTTCTGAACACCTATGAACTTCAATGATGTGTGATTGCTTAAAATTGATAGTACAGGGCTTACTTGAAGCTCGGGATGCTCAGCATCTTTGCAGGAATGGGTCCAGAGAAACGGTTATTCACTATGTTCCTGTCCAGAATTGGATGAAAAAGATGAAGACATTGTTAGCCAAGATTCCTCCTAGCATCTTCTAAAATCATTGAAAATTTGTTCTTGAAAAGTAAGAGAATTATAGTAAGAAACGTTGATTCTAAAAAAAATGCAAAAGGCATAGTGGAGAAAAGTACAAATCTCTTAGGGGAAGATCTTGTAAAACATCTAGCGTCCCCGACAGCTGATTGACCTGCAAATGTCTGCCAACAGAGGTGGTCAGCTTTCTCGTCCATTCAATAAACATTACCATTCAGAAACGAGGAGAACTCACAGAGTTGTTAGGCTAGACAAATTTCCCATTGATGATGGCAGAGGTCCACTCAAATTATTATTGGACAAATCCCTGGAAAGAATCAATACACCAACTTGAATCGACTATGAAA